CCCGTACCGGACCGGGACCGGCAACGGGATCGCAACCCTCGGTGTTGCGCCCGCACCTCGCTCAGCCAGTGAGCGGCCGGTCTGTATGTGGGATCCGAACCCTTGGTGGGAGCGCCGCCACACTCCCAAGCGGCGCGCTGTAGCAGTGCGCCACCGGGCCGGCCCTAAATTTTTGTTTTCTAAAGAATCTTAATTTCCTTGCACTTCAGTTTTTTAATCTATGAAATGACAATACTTATTATGCAAGAATTACATGAGAATATATGCAAATAGGATTAGTACTAACACAGCCAATAAATGATGGTTTGTTTCCTTTTCTTAATATTTATATCCCTAGCATTTGAGAGATTAAAAAAGGAGGCACAGTGTACAAAAGAGGAATAACCTAGTTCCTTCTTTCAGTGACTACTAATAATTGTATTATCATTCGATTAGTAATTTAGAAAGTAATCATTATCTGTAAAGCACTTATTTTTCTCTATATTTACATTTTCAGGTCATTTTCTTTGGCAGTGTTCCCATATTATCAGTATGGCTACTTTTCAAGAAGGGAACCTGAAAAACTCGATTCTGAAAGGAAAACATAATTGTATGTACCAGACTGGAAGATAAGAGGGATTCCCCAGTAAAGTCAGTTAACTGGTGTGTTTAACCTTATTTTGTGCAAATTTGCTGATCTATATATTTAGTGTCAATATGGATAATTAGTTGAGTTCATTTTATAACCAGTTGGTCATTTAAAAAAATTAGGAAGTATTTTAAAACTATTTAAAGCTATTAAAACTATGTACAAACTCTCTAAGGGTACGGGGCACTCTTAAAAAGAAGGAAATTTTCAATTAACAATGAAAAGCAAATATGCAGGCTGAAAAGAGCTCTCCAAAAGTTAAATTAAGGGCTACTGATTATGTCTTCATTAACTAACAAAAAGAATTGCCTAATTCCCCTGGGTAGATTTCTTATTTAACTACAACGTTTTGTGTTATGCCTTTAAGGGTATGTGAAGTAATTGCAAGCACTTAAACTAAAAGCTAGTGGGAGGCAGATGCTGGAGAAGAAAGAATGGGGTAGAGGGGGGCAGAGACATGACTTTATCCCTGATTTTGCACTCGCAGTTTGTTCCACAGAGAATCAGCTGCTCACTGACAGTTTTCCTAAAATTTGATTCTCCCTTGGAGCACCTGGGGTAAAAACCTCATTAAATCCATAAGAGTATAGAAACAACAACAGCAACAAGGTACTTACAGAATCGATACTTTGTGCAAACATTACGGAAGCCTTCTCAGTCTGCTGGATGTTGGGNGATCAGCATGACACTGCACATATGTCTTTGTTTCTTCCTTTTAAAAAACTTAGTATTTGGTATATTTAAGAATTTAATATAGTATTTAATATTTTTTCAAAATGTGTTTTTAATAATTTCATATCTTTTGATACTATAATATGAATTCAGACTAATTTGGTTTTCTCCTGAATTTGTCAGTTCTACAAGTAAAACATCAATGAATAAACAACATTTTACATAAAAATTTGCCTATATTTCCAAATTTTCCATGTGATTGAGTCCCAGAGTAAATTATTAGAACCAAAATGTGATCATTTCATACAGCTGGTTCTATCATTTCCTTAAAATGAATTTTAAACATGAAATTACTGGGTCAAGAAACAAGAAATGCTTTAGAGTTTTGATATGTGTCACTCAAATTGCTTTTCAGAAAAGTTGCACCAATTTATGCCTCTAACGATCATCTGTGGGAGCTCTCATCCCACCAACAGTACCTTACTAGATACTAATCTCATCTTTGTTGGATTTGCATCTCTTTGATTACTAGTAAGTATGAACATTTTTATATGTTTATTGGCTATTTTTATTTCTTCTTTGGCAAATTATTTATTCTCTTTATTTCTGTTAGGGTGTTATTGTTTAACTGATTTTCAAAAGTTCTTTCTGTGTTATAATACTAAGCTTCTAAAAGTCTGATTTTTTATTGCAAATATCTTTTTCTTTTTACTTTTTTAGTCAGCTAATGTTTAGTTTGTGTACAGCAAATTTTTTAATTTATATGTGGCCACATTTATTGTTCTTTTAGCTATATCTTTTTCAAATTATTGAATGCATAGAAAGACCTTTGCTATATTGGGATTTGATATTTATTAATATTCTTCTAATTCTTCTAATTTTCATTATGACTTAAAAAAAATATTTAATGAGTCTATCCAGTTGGAAGAGGGTCTGTTAATTTTTCCCTCCATACAGTTAAAAATTATCCTATCTTATAAAATCCTACCTTTCCTCACAGATTTGTAATTCTACCTATATTAAGTAGTAAATTACTATATATGTAAGCATCTGTCATCTACATTGTTTTAATTAATGTAGTTTTATAGTATATTTAAAATTTGGTAAGTAAAAGTCCCCTTTGTTACTATTCTTTTTCAAAAGTGATCTTAGCTACTATCTACTAATGAACTCTAGGACTTTTAAAATAAGGTAAAAATAAATGGATGTACTTTTGACTAGAGTTTCTAAAACCTACATATTAATTTTGGTTGAATTTAAATCTTCCATGAACTTAAATTCTCTCAGTTTCTCTTGGTTGTCATTTAAATCCTTTAGAAGGGTTTTATAATTTTCTTCAAATATGTCTTCTGCGTTTCTTAAGAGTTTTTCCTACTTTTCTTATACCTTTAATTGCTGTCTCGAGTGTAGTATTATTTTCCTTTATATTTTTGAACTGTTTATTGCTAATATATGGGAAAGCAATTTGAGTATTTATTTTGTATCTCGTCACCTTATTGACTTCCCTTCTCAATTTTAATTTCAATTTATTCCCTTGGGTTTTCTAAGTGGACCACATAGGATCTGCATAAAAGCCATTTCTCTTCCTTTCTAGTAGGGCCTCCCCTGCCCCTGCTTTTTTTTTTTTTAACCTCCCCAATTGCATGTGTTACAGCATTGGCTACAACTTTTTATGCATGGTTCGACAACTGTCATAATAGTGGCCATCCTTATCTTATTCCTGGAAGTATCTCTAGTGTTTCCTTGTTAAACATGAAGTAGACTGTTAGCTATTAATAGATGTTCTGTATCATACTAAAGAAGTAACCTTCTCTTGTGGGCATTACTGTCATTTTTGTGATTGCTTCTAGGCCTTAAAAATAATTTAAAAGTCTGGAAGGTAAGGAGCAACATATATTATTAATATTTCATAGTAAAATTTCTTTTTAACAGGACACAGTAATTATGTCAGCTTTGCTAATGTAGTATACATAGTTATCTGTGGAAGCAAGAACATGCTATCTATGTAGATATTTCTAGACTTTCTCTAGAAAGGAATATGTACAGCTTTCTCTCAAAGGAATATACAGTGTCTGTCTGCATACTTAGAAAAGAGAAGTGGGAAAGGCAGGTGTCAGGTTTGGAATGGTGCTCATTGGCTGAGATTTGAAAGGTCAAACCAGAATGTGATCACACCAGGGAAGTGCCCTGGGCTGTGGTCTATGTGGTGCAGGGTGCACAAGCCTAAGGAATCTGTAGGAGTGTGCATGGCTCCAGGAGGCAGCGATGCTCTTAGTGCCTATTTAACAGTGAGCGATAATACAATGGAAGTGGAGCAAGCTGACAGAGTTTGAGTGCAATAAAGAAAGGGAAAAGTGGACAGCGGAAATGCTCCTATGGGAGAAAGGGAGGTCAAGAGTGAGCTCTGAACCCGGTGCAGCTGCCCTTGGAAATAATTGTACCAAGTCAAGACAGTAAACGAAACAAGGCTGAGTGTTTCTCCTTACAGAGCCATGAGACAAACAAAACTGGCAGCAGAAGTGGAGAGGATGTTGTACCAACTTCTATCTTTTAAAAAGAGGGGGTTGGTTTTCATACTTGGGAATAAATTCTGCAATTTTTAAAAGTCTGTCTTGAGAATCTATTGGAATAATCATTTGTTTTTCTTCTTTACTCAATATTCTTTATTCTTACCTAATATCACAACATTTTTGGGTTTCTAGAAGACATTCGACTTGGCCTTACTATGTTTGTCTTTCCCTTAATTCTGCCAGATGTAATCTTTTCATTAAAATCTTTGCCTCTATCTTTTTTTTTTTTTTTTTTTGGACTGGTAAGGGGATCGCAACCCTCGGCACAGTGTGGTCTGCACCACGCTCAGCCAGTGAGCGCACCAGCCATCCCTATATAGGATCCAAACCCATGGCCTTGGCGCTACCAGCGCCGCACTCTCCTCAGTGAGCCACGGGGCCAACCCTGCCTCTATCTTTTTAGAGAGCTGTATCTACAGAATTTTTGTTGTTGTTGTTCCACCTGTCAGGTTTTAGTATCTGAATTATGCTAGCTCTTTAAAATAAATTGGGAAGTCCCTATCACTTACATGTGTACTAAACAGTTTACATACACTAAAACTGTTGGTTGCAAGAACTTGCCCATAAAACCATGATGGCCAAGAGTACTTTCTAAGTGTTCAGTTTGCTCTCTACTGACACCACACAAGATTTAATTCCAACTGTGAGGAGTTTTTGTTCTGTTTTAATATTTGGATTGTATTTCAGATAAGTTCCACAGCCCCTCCCAGGCCCATTTGTACTGACAAAGTCCACACAGATATCATTCTGACCCTAAGGAACTGAAGAGCCCAATAAGCTCTGTTTACGTCACTGATTCTGGTACAGGAAGATGGACACTGAACATAGCACTTGTAGATTTATTACAGTTGGTTCACTTTTGAAAAAGAGGCAAATGATTTGTAGCTGCAGAGTAAAGAATTCAATTAATGAAACACTTATAAAGCAACGAAAGTGGTAGTTTTGTAAAAATCTGAAAAAGAAGGCACTTGGAGAATAAGTTAGAGATAGAAAATAAGACAGAAGATTGATATTTTAAAAGTAATCAATTCAAGAAAAAATTAATGCAATTTAAAATATACATACTTTTGGAAAAGTTATATCAAAATATACATACTTTACTGCTTTGATTTTTCCACTGGATAGGTAGAATTTCTGGTTATAATTGTACTCATCAAATACTCCCCATCGTAGATGAGCCCATTCATGGACAAATACCCTACCTGTAAAAAAATATTTTAAATACATGATTACAATAAGAATGGCGAAATTACCTTCTTACACTGGAAGACAGTTTATTCTCTGAACGTTTACTGTGCTCTGCTATGTTAATTTTTTAAAAATGAAAAGCTTGATTTCTTTAGAAAGATCTAATATGACAAGTATACATTTCTGTAAAATATAAATACTTATTTTTGCACCTAGTAAGTGTCAAGCAATTATCTACACAAAGATGAAACAACTGCCCTGTCCTCACATAGCTCATGGTCTAGTGGATGACATGCACCAGCAGATCCCTCAGCTGCCTGATGGTGCAAGTGTAACGATGGAAGACAGCACGGGCTGCTACGGGAGCCAGAGACATTCAGAGAGCAGCCAGGGCAGCATCAATAGGTCCTTCTTCTTCACGGCTCATATCTGATCAAACCTCAAGTCCTGCCTACTCCTCCTTTGCCTTTTTTGCTTTGATCCATTCTCATCTTTCCAGTCTCATTGCCACTTACTCCTGAATTGCTGCAATAGCCATGCAGCTGACCTCCACTCCAGCCTTCAATGGCTCCCTTGTGATGCTCAGGGTTCAGTCCAGCTCCTTCACATGGTATACATAGTCCCCGATGATTCAGACCCTGCTCCTTTCCACAGCTTTATTTCCTGCTGTTCTCTATCCACTTCCAAAACTCTATAATTGTGATAAATTCCTGAACTCCTTTTATTTTCTAGGCCAGACCATGCTCTTGCTCACTGCTGGTCCTCTTTACTTATTTTTCCTCTGCTTGGAGTACCTTCTCCTTATCTCTGCCTGGATAACTCCTACTCTTCTTTCAAAATCATGCTTCTACCCACCTAGACTAGAAACCTTTCCTGGCATCCACAGACTAGGCCAAGTACTCCTCCTTTGCACTTTGATTATATTCTACTATGGCACTTGTCATGTTATATTGTCATTGCTGCTTACTTGCCAGTCTCCCACACTAGACACTTGTCTGCATGAGGATGGGCAATATGACTTCATTTGCATGTCTGGGCACACAGTGTCTAGAACTTAATAGGCACTCAGTGACTACTTGTTAAATTTGGATGAATCTTAGTGACTTATGCACAGCCCAGTTTTTCTGGAATGTAAATTCCAAGGTCGGCAGAATTTGGAGGGTTAGGTGAGTGGGGGCGTACCTAATAACTCACTAATGATTTGGACTTTATTCTGTAGGTGCTGGGGAACAACTGACAGTCTCTTAAATGTAAGGGAAGATTGTGAGGGAGCAGGAGTGGAGTCACAGTACAGAAAGGGGATGTTATATAAGAATGACATTATATATGACCATGATGGCTGGTATGAGCTCAGGAGTAGGATGGGACATTTAGGTAAATCAATTCAGCACATATTTATTGAGCCATACATCAGGAATTTTCTGTTCCTCTTATGAGGGTGAGATGGAATGCTGTAGAACAATAGAGATTCATTTGGTACTGCTTTCTGATGAAGTCTTTATGTACTTTTGTATATTTGGGTTTGGGGTGGGCATGGAGGCTCCAGGGCTCTTTTGTTTTCTTGGGGTTTTTTTTGTTTGTTTTTTGTTTTTCCTGGCTTGTCTGTTTAAGTAAAGAAAATAAAGCCAGTTCTGAAGGAGTCTAATCTATCTTGAGATAAAAAAAATCTAATACTAATTATTCAGTAACTAATCACATTTGATTATACTTGGAAAGTACTTTATTGCTTATTTACTTTGATATTTCCTCCAAATATTGCTTTATATAGCTCATGTATAAATGATAAAGAGTTTATTTTGCAGAAAAAATTGGACTTTTTAATTGTTGTTACAAGTTTTTGAGAACTGAATTGCAAGGATTTTCTGTTTGCTACGCAAAAAGGTGGTCCACAGACTAGAAATACCACCATCACCTGGGACCTTGTTAAAAATGCACATTCTTGAGTCCCACCGTACTTCTACTGATTCAGAATACGCCTTTTAACAAGATCCGTTTATAATTTGAATGCCCTTAGAAGTCTGAGCACTGTGCTTATCTGCCATCTGGAGGCGACCACGTAAATTGCAGGCAGGAAATTTCATTCAGGCGAGTCTCCTTATAGATTCATAGGAACCTAATACTACAAATTAAACTATTTTTACAGTTATAATATGATACTGTAATAATTCCTGAAATTAAAAAATGTTGTATTTGCACATATATGCAAAATAAGAAATTAAACGTCTATCTGAGAAATGCACTATTCTGAATCTCCATTTTAAGTGAAAAAAATTTTGTATTAATTTATTTGTAGTAGTTTACTTAGTTTATATGTGCTTCTGCACAAAGATAATGCTATTGTTGATCCACTTTGAACATAAAATAATTAAATTTTATGAGAAATATAGTAGGATATTTTATCTTCACCCATACCTTGTGGTCCATATTGAGGCAACTTTTTTCCTGCTAAAAAGTCAGGAGTGAAATGAATCCTTTCACCCTTTTCTCCACACTTTCCTATCTGCTCGGTATAGGGTTCATCATTACCCAGAGAATTAGGTTCAGCAACCAGAACATCTGCCTGAAATTTAATAAAAAGTTTTTATTCTCACAAAATTTCAGCAAATGAATTGACCTTATTCACATTGGAGTATTTTGAAACAATTTCATTTGATTATAGAGTATTGATTGTAAAAACTTGGATTACAGAAGAAAATTGAATTTGAAAGAAGAAATTGATATTCTTACATTTTTGTAGGTCTCAAGTTTTGGTCTCAAATAGTTAGGTTTTGTTTTCCACTTTTCAGGAATCAGAATGGCAACATTTTTGAAATAAAATCTTTTTCCTGTAGCTTCAAACAGGTATGGAGATGCCTGGGTCACCATGTCCTGGAAAGAAAGAAAACATACATAACAATTAGGACCGGAAAGAGACTAAATTACCAGTCATTCAAATTTACATCTGTATTTCACATTTTCAAAGACTAGTATGTGTCGTGATGGGAAGGGGAAATGTGGAAGTATCTTTAAATAATAATAGCTAAACCTTTCGAGCATTTACCACATACTCTGCTACGCAGTGTAATGGTTAACAGTGTAGATTCTAGGGGCAGATGCTAACCCTGGCTCCAGCACTTACTGTGAGATATTAGGAAATTTCTAATCCTGAGCCTCAGTTTTGCCCTTTATAAAATGGAAAATAT